TTATAATATATATATATATATATATATATATATATATATATATATATATATATATATATATATAGGGATTATGCGGAGGATATGAACAAGTTATGATTACAACATATTAGTCCTTTAGCTTCTTGTTTCAAAGTGGATTGTTGATCATGACTACTTATGTTGGAATATTTTTTTTCCACCCAGTATTTAGTACCCGTATCAGGCCTGGCAAATTCAGATTCAGCCCAGTAAATCCCACTTTGAGATTAGCACTCCCTACTAAACACGATTCTATTTTCAAGGCTCGAACTCGAAATGATAGCTAAGAAGAAAGACTTTAGGTGAAGGGTAATTAGGTCAATTAACTTTTGAATATATATATATATATATATATATTATGCGGAGGATATGAACAAGTTATGATTACAACATATTAGTCCTTTAGCTTCTTGTTTCAAAGTGGGCTGTTGATCACGACTACTTATGTTGGAATATTTTTTTTCCACCCAGTATTTAGTACCCGTATCAGGCCTGGCAAATTCAGATTCGGCCCGGTAAATCCCACTTAGAGATTAGCACTCCCTACTAAACACGATTTTATTTTCAAGGCTCGAACTCGAAACCTCTGAATAAGAATGGAGAAATACTTACTACTCTTATAGTTTCTGGTGATAAGTTGAAATATAATATATATATATATAGCCTTCAAAATTTTGAAATGTCATTTCTATTTTGCAATGGTTGACAAACTACTAGAAAAAACTAACTAGAGACGAAAGCACAAATGAATTTAATTATAATGATGACAATAGAAATTATAAGTGGAAAGAGAAAAGTATTACTGACTTTATTTCCTTGTAGAACATCACAAACTTCTTGCGGGATGAATAATCTACTCCGTTTTCCAGGATCTCGAGCTGATTCCATGCGAACGACTTCTCTTCCCATATCTCGCACTAAATCATGCATCTCCAAAATATTCCAAGATCTTTGGAGCAAGTATTTTTGGACTAAAGTTGCAATTGCACTTTTAGCATGAAAGCCACATGCATTTACCATTTCAGTAACTTCATGCTCATAAAACCCATGGAAGGCGCATGCAATATCGAGGAAAACAGTCTGTGTTTCATCATCAAGTCCATCAAAGCTTATCTTGAGAATTTTTTGGATATCACAATGAGGAATTGATTTTAGTTTTTCTAATTCATATCCCCATTCTTCTATAGAACTTCCTTGTAAATGTGACCCCAATGTCACAAGAGCTAATGGTAGCCTACCTGAATATTTGATTATGTCTTGTGCCAAAATTAACATAATCTTCTGGTGGAAAATGACCGTCAAAAGCATGCCAACAACTAGTTTCATTGTCATTTAATAGTTTGGCCTCATATCTCTCTTTTTCTCCAAACAGACATAGCAATCGCTTGTCTCGGGTGGTAATGATCATTAAACTACCCGAACCAAACCAACTTCTTTCTCTTGCTAAGGATTCTAATTGGTTTGTGGTCCACGTCATCAAGAACAATTAGAACCTTCTTTGACTCGAGTCTTGCTTTGATTAGATTGATGCCTTGAGCAACACTGCCAACTTTGATGTCCTTATTTTTGAGTACTTGTTGAAGAAGTTTCTCTTGTAGCTTGACAAGACCAAATTCTTCAGCTTCTGATCTAACATCCGAAAGGAAGCAACTACTATCGAATAGTCGAAACATTCGATTGTAAATAGCTTTTGCTAGAGTTGTTTTCCCTATGCAACCAACTCCGTGAATACCAATCATGCGAACTCCATCTTCACATTCATTTTGCAATAACAACTCTATATTTTTTACACGAGAATCTACTCCAACTGAGTTCCAAGCAACATCTAGAGGTGTCTGGTTAACCTCTTGTAGCTATATAATTTTTTCAATAAACTTTGATTCATGCCTACAATTTTTTTAGAAAAAAAAAAGTTAAAAGAAATACTACTCCGATAAATAAAACTATGGTATTTGAAAATATATGACGGACAAATCAAAATCGATAGCCAAGACATAACACAGTGGGATGAATCTAAGCAACAAGACAGATAACTTACGGCGTCATATAGGATACTTTAAGAAATAATTTAAGTTATATATATTGATAGTGTAAATATTTCGATAATGTCAATGCATAGAACTAAAACTCTTTTGAACAGTTATTATCACATCCAATAAACAATTGAACAAATAACAAATGAAATTATATAGTTGAATCAAGATAATGTACCCGTCAGCAACATTTTGCAAATCCCATCCAGATAAATTGCAGCTTCAGTAAGTGCAGCTCTCCATTTCTCCACCCTTTAAGCTCCAACTGGTCGTTCCTTGTGTTTAGCCAAAGCTTCATCAAATAACCAAGTTTGCTTTCGTACCTCAGAAGGATCAACATCATAGAAAATAGCCAAAACCATCTGCTTTGATTTCTCTTTGCATTCAAGAATCTTAATTAGTTCATTTAGACACCAACTAGAGGATGCATAATTTCTTGAGAAAACAATAATGGAAATTCTAGACTCTTCAATTGCTTTCTCTAGTTTACTTGAAATCACATCACCCTTTCTCAATTCCTCATCATCAATGAATGTATTAACCCCAACATCATGCAATTTGGAATACTTCATAAGAGAAGTGAGAAGAGTGAGAAGACGTAGATGATTCTCCTCTAACTAATTGAGTATCCATTTGATGTATTAAGGGTTGATGAGAATGCAAGAATTAAGGGATTATTTTTTAGTAAACCTTTAGACCGAAAACACAGAATCTAATCCATGGCCGTCACCCAATAATAAAGTTCACATCTCACTTTCTATCTCCTCCATATTCCTTCCTCCTCCACTTCTTCTTTCCTTAACCCTCAACGCCTTTTTTCACCTTCCAATTATGGCAACTCTGAAAAATTCAAGCCATTAGCGACCCAATTTGCTGTAGCAGCAGGAAACCCAACTCGAAGCCCAACAACTAGCCTAGTCATTCACCTCTGCCGCCGTAAAACTCTCCGCATGCTCCTCACCCGCAGTGGCAACGCCGGCAGCGACGGAGAAAGTGATCGACGGCTACTGTCCGAGGACGCTGCGTCGACGGATCGGATTTTCAGCGACGGAGATTCGCCGGATAAAAAGGAAGTGGTGGTGAGAAACAAGCTTAAGAATTTGTTCGTTTCGTCGCCGAAAAATTCGAGAGAGGGATTTTCACTGGAAATTTCTAGTGCCGGTGGTAGTATTGGATCGGCAGTTCGGAGAATTCGGCCGTTGACGGCGACTTTCCGGCAACGGTTGCTTAGGAGGGTTTGGAGAGCTATGCTTGTGAGTATACCAGAATAATTAAATTGGAATATATTGTATTAGCGCTAATTGCGCTTATTAGAGAATAAATAAGTAAGTTTTGAATCCTATTTTTTTTTTAAAGGATGAATTTTACTATTAGATAATATTGTCTAACCTCGTTGAAGCAGTGACGATGATTTCTAGTTTAAAAGATACTCAATGTTATAACATGTGCAGTAGACTAACAACAGAAACAGTTACAGAACATAACAGATAAGTACAAGAAAACAAATGTGTGAAGTAGTAAATGATTACTAAAAGAAATCACGGTAGTAAATTCATAACTTTCATGGTGAGGGAAATGTACTCAAGATATCAAATCAAATGGCACGGCAATGCCCTTCGTGCATTTATCTCACCCTCACCAAATATATGAATGTAGATCAAAGCAATTGGCACGGCAACACCGTTCGTGTATTTATCTCTTCCTCACCGAGCATACGTATAATAGTACCAACCAGGTGAAAGAAATGTCAATAACAATAACGATAACAATAAAGTGGGAGACACACAGAAGCAATAACGAACAACGTAGTACATATGGATAACAGAAATAGACTGGGAAAAAGGGGCATAGATGCATATATGACAACAAGGGGGAAATGATTAAACAGATAGAAGGCATGGACAACATAACAATAATTTGAATAAAGAACAAGTCAGAACAACATCGACAACCACATAGAAAACATAGGTGTAACAGTAATAGTCAAGGTAAAGGCAATGAATACATACACAAGAAAAAGATATCACAACATAATGTATGTCTCTCGTTCTCACCTGCATGTAAACACTATTCGTGCCATGAATATAGTAATATAAAACATGATGATATAACTAACATGGCACGGTATCACTTTTCGTGCTTTTACTCTCATCATCATGTGATAATATGCATGATAGCATAATAATATAATGAAATGGCATGGCATCACCCTTCGTGTTTTACACTCTTCCTCACATAATAATGAATATAAAATGGAACGGCATCATTCTTCGTGCTTTACACTTTTCCTCACATAGTGGAGGAGCAGTATTTAAACTAAGATGGACATACTAGTTGCAAAGTAAGAGAATAGCAGAGTAACCACAGCAAGCAAGCAGCAGAAACAACTCAGGTTTTCAGCAGAACACTTGAAGACTCAAGGAGAGCTTAAAGGGTATTTCAGAAAGCAAAGAGGAGAAGTACACAGAACTGGTCTGTGTATTTGAGAGAAGAAGGGAGTAGAAAGTTGATTGCCTATTATTGCTTGATTGTTACTTACTCGTTGTTACTGCTCTTTTGAAAAGGGGAGGGCTGAGCCCTTTATATAGTTTTGAAAACAGGTGAGGTAGGCACAAAGGTATAAACATAGAAACTAATGAAATTAGTATCAATTAGGGTAGACAGACTCCTTTAATTAAGGGTCTAGTTCAGACGACTAAGAAGGAAGAGAGAATCAGTTTATTAAGGCTAAATTAAGGTAAAGAGACCATATGGTGCACAAATAAGGTCACATACACAATTGGATATTTAAGAAAAGAGGGCACACTAGTAAGAATAAGGTATAAGTTTAAAAATCAGTCAAAGGATCTCGGCTCCAGTTGTAAATCACAAAGAGACTAAGATAATTAAGGAAGTAAATAATTCAAACGTTGGTACAAAAATCACAAAAGATACAGGATCAATTATTTAAGGAAAACATCAGTAAGGTAAAAGAGGTTCAATCAAGAGAAATTGGTGACAAATTTCTTAGCCTGATTAAAGGAATTTCGAAAATAAAACTTTGAAAGGGAAGCTTATATATAAGCATGCAGTTCAAAACAAAGAAGAACAATGAGAGTTTTTTTCATAATCATAGGCAAATAAGTTCACAAGTTCGATTACAGACTCGTCATGAGTCTGTAAACCTAGGGTTTCAGAGTGAAACCCTAGTGTCTTTCACTTCAAAGAAAAGAAAACCCCCCAAATCTTAGGGTTTCACATGGAGTCGGAGGTAAGGGAATCGTTCAAAGTCACAGAGATAGGCAGATATGCACAAACAGAAGTAAGAGGAAATTACGAGTTTTAAGACGAAGGTAGGCAAGAGCATGATCAACAGAACTCAGAAACAAAATCAAAGCATGAGCTTAAACACATAAGCAAAAGCGAGTCAATAACCTAGGCTAACATGTGAACAAAAGAGGTAAAAGAATCTCCGTAAAAGATCCAGTAAGAAACACAAGAGCAGGCTTGAACATAACAAGGAATAAAACAACGAGCATGAACACACATAAAAAGAGTAAAAGAATCAGAAACATTTAGAAACCATTTTCAGAAAACCCTAAAAATAGGATTCGAACAGTTTTGAATAGGGAAAATTGGGGAAAAACTCTAAAATGGCACACACAGCATAGATCTAGCATAGATCTAGACGAATAAGCGAAAAAGGAACCTCGATTAGGCTAGGGTTTCTGAGAACCCAAAAGGACAAGAAGGCTTGGAAGTCTCGAGAATGGTTCTGAGCTAGCAAGGTCGAATCCAGGCTCGAGAGGCTGAGATACGCCGGAGCAAAGCCGGAAACGGCCAAAGAAACTCGAACCGGCCAGGGTCTGGATGAAGACCTTCGAGGTCTAGCCTCGAATCTTCAATGAGAAAGCGTGTGAGAGCAGGAGATGGTGGGTGGAGGTTGTCCATGGCTAGATTAGCCATGGATTCTGGAGGTAGGTGGATATTAGGGTTTCAGAGGTTGAGAGGGTTCGAGAGAGACGAGAGGAACCAGAGGTGGCTGATTTGGAGAATGGGGATATGGTTAGGGTCGTTTGGGAATTAAAATGGTAAGGAGGAAATGTGGCCGTTGATCATTTTGATCAACGGCCTGGATCAAAAGGGAGCCGGGCGGGTAAAAATAAACGGGCCGTGGGTCGGGTTATGGGTAGGGAATTTTGGGTCTGATTTGGGCTTAAGATTGAGGTTAATTTCGGGCTAAAATTGAAATGCAAAGGGCTAACTCTTAAATAGCCACTTTTCCCTTATTTTAATTTATAAAAAATAGCAAAATAATTTCTGGAAATAAATGCAGGAAATGCAGATGGAGACAACGCTTAGTCTCGGAAGGCAGAAAGGTAGCCTTATGCAATGCAGGAAATGCAGATGGAGACAACATTTAGTCTCGAAAGGCAGAAAAGTAGCCTTATGCAATGCAGGAAATGTAGATGGAGACAACGCTTAGTCTCGGAAGGCAGAAAAGTAGCCTCATGCAATGCAGGAAATGCAGATGGAGACAACGCTTAGTCTCGGAAGGCAGAAAGGTAGCCATATGCAATAAGATAAAAGCGAATAGTAAAAAAGAATTCCTAGCTGATAGCTGATCGTGATATTGCGGCTGCTGGGGCCATTGCGTGCGGATGGCAAATGCGAATAGGCGCGACGGGTCAATGCGATTGCGTAACATGTTTGGTAACTTTGTGACTTGGGTGCCTGCATCCAAAGAAAATCGTGAGTTTTGTAAAGGGGAAAGGTTAGTTCGCTCTTCCGTGGCTCCCGTCGCCGTGCATCGTTGGGGTAGCGTCGCTAAACATCAGCTATCATAGTTATGCATGATTTAACAAATATAACGTAAGTAGAAAATGGTTTTGTTTAAATGAACCAACGACTGCGACGTGGTTCAAAGTATTGCAACCTTTCTTGTTCCGGAATTTTGAGGGTCCTCCTCAAAATTCTGCCCCAGTTTACTGGGCTGGCACTTCTGACGGCTGCGCTGAACGGATGAAAAATCAACTTCGGAATTTTCAGGGTCCTCCTTAAAATTCTGCCCCAGTTCACTGGGCTGACATCCCTGGCGATGAGCGGCTGAAGACTGACTTCGGAATTTTGAGGGCCCTCCTCAAAATTCTGCCCCAGTTCCAATAATAGGGGGACATGAAATTTTATTAAATTGTGACCGAACCCATAGGGCTGCCTACGTATCCCCTCTTAAACAGGAATCAGGTCAGCCGTAGTTCAAATTTGTGAATCTTTTCCTCAACTCCTGTATGTGATGCAGGTAGGGAAGTATCTTAGAGTTTTTGGTGGCCCATTCTTCTCGAACTTGATGTATGAGTAGGTCTGAGTCCCCGATCACTAGTAACTCTTGAATGTTCATGTCAATGGCCATCTTGAGCCCCAGGATGCAGGCTTCATATTCGGCCATATTATTTGTGCAAGGGAACCTGAGCTTGGCAAATACCGGGTAGTGCTGGCCGGTTTCTGATACTAGGACTGCCCCTATGCCAACTCCTTTGAAATTTGCGGCTCCGTCGAAAAACAACCTCCAACCATCGTAGGATTCTGCAATATCTTCTCCTACAAAGGATACTTCTTCGTCAGGAAAATACGTTTTCGGTGGTTCCTATTCTCCTTCAATGGGATTCTCGGCAAGGCGATCTGCTATGGCTTGACCCTTGACTGCTTTCTGAGTCACGTAAACAATGTCGAACTCACTCAACAAGATTTGCCACTTGGCGAGCTTGCCAGTGGGCATGGGCTTCTGGAAAATATACTTCAGCGGGTCCATCCTGGATATGAGATAAGTAGTGTGAGCACAGAAATAATGCCTCAATTTCTGAGCTACCCAAGTCAGAGCACAATAGGTGCGCTCTAATGGATAATACCGGGCCTCGTACGGGGTGAACTTCTTGCTGAGATAGTAGATGGCTTGCTCCTTTCTCCCCGTTTCATCATGTTGTCCCAGAACACAACCGAATGCTCCATCCAATACCGCAAGATAAAGCAATAGAGGTCTTCCTGGCTCGAGAGGAACCAAGGCCGGCGGCGTTGACAGGTATTCCTTGATTCTGTCAAAGGCTTTCTGACAATCGTCGGTCCATCTAGTAGCAACGTCTTTCTTTAGCATTTTAAAGATGGGTTCACAAATGACTGTGGACTGAGCTATGAACCGGCTGATATAGTTGAGTCTCCCCAGGAAACTCATCACGTCTCTCTTGTTCTTTGGTGGTGCCAATTCTTGAATGGCTTTGACCTTTGACGGGTCCAATTC